TCTCTCTCTCTCTCTCTCTCTCTGAGCCTATGTATCTGTATATCTATCTCTTGCTTGGTCTCTTTTTTTCATCTCTACCCACCCCTTCCCCTCACCTTTTCACAGATGACCAGGAGTCCGTCACAGTAATCCTGTACGCCATGGAACATCTCAGCAAGACCATCACCTCCATCATGAGAAAGCGGGAAATTCTCAACGATCGCCTGATGAGCCGCAGCAAAACCCAGACGGTCATTGATCTCAACAGACGTCCACACGCGGCCAGACAGAAGAAGCGAAAGAAGAAAGGAAGCAGGCGCGAAGCGACGACCCTGGACGGAGATGAAGAGAACGCGGTGACGGCAGCTAGACAGAACACGATGTTGGTGGTTGAACCAGCGACGACGGGGGATGAAAGAGAGGTTGATGAACAGCACAACCGAGGTCAGGTTGGAAAAGATGGGGTGGTCGTCGAATCGGCTGTGCCGTCGCGCCTAGCTGTACGACGAGGAAGTACGAGCATGTTTGAAGAGAGTCCGAGAGAGTTGGAGCCTTTTGGTGATCCACAGATGAGGCGTCAGAAAGACCGACAACAACAACAACAACACCCCCACGCAAACCATCGACGGCACGGATTACTCGAACATCTAGACACGGATCGAAGCGGGCCGGACAGCCGATCGCATTCGATTTTATCGCGGGAGGGAACCTACCATAAGGAAACCCCGAGATATGACTATTCCCAACACCAGAACACTCGTTCTCATTCGAAAATCGGCACGCCTAGAGAGGAGGGTGCGGAGAATAGGTCCCAGTTCTCTAGTAGAGCTGACCATAGTCAGCTGAGCACGTACAGGTCTGGGGGTGGTTCGCCTCATAAGAGTCATCACCAGCAACACCTTCACGATACCTCGGGAGGTCATTTCAGTGAGCAGGGTACACCCAGGGATGTGACTTTTGCCGTGTTGCCAGACACTGATCATCATAAACAACGTCATGGAGAAGAAGGAGGAGGCGGTAGAGGAGAAGCAGGAGGTGGAGGTGGAGGGAGGAGCAGGAGAGAGAGAAGGCTCCCATACAAAAGTCCGCGCGGGGGAGTAGGAGGAGGAGGAGGTGGAAGAGGAGGTGGTGGAGGAGGAGAGGTCCAAACAGACGCCGAGAGACTCGCTGCTAAAGGAAACAACGGTGGAGGAAGAAGAGAAGGAGAAGCTGGTCTGGGCGCCCAAAGTCGGGGTCACGGTGAGGGGGTCACGGATGACTCTCAAGGTCACATGACGCAAGAAAGCCTTGACCTTACAGGCGTTTCTAGTGGAATGGCGGAATGGAGCAGCCGCTTCGACGACTTCACCCCGGGCCGTTTGACTGACCTCTCGGTGACCCAGGACACCGCACAGAGCCACACTCCGGCAGGGAATTACAGCTATGAGACAATTGACGAGGACGGGGGAGTGCCGAGACACACACAAGGCGGCACTCAGGATGGACATGGCGAGGAAACGACTGGTCTAGGTATGCTATGAGGATGGGGTCTTTAGATTTAAAAAACGACTGGTCTAGGTATACTATGTCGATGGGGTTTTTTAATTAAAAAATGACTGGTCTAGGTATGCTATGTCGATGGGGTTTTTAGATTTAAAAGACGACTGGTCTAGGTATGCTATGTCGATGGGGTTTTTAAATAACGTTCCAACTGCTTGTCAATACAGACTTATGAGAAGGTTAATTTGGTAAATGGCAGACTGTACGTTTTTATTGTTTATCGTTTCGTTTCGCTTCCTTCATAAATACAGTTTGAAACTTTTTGCGTCTCATTCAGTCCCACCTCGTATCAATGTAGTATGTCTTGGTTTTCTCAGTTGAAAAACTAAGTGGGAAAAAAAACCCAAATGTTATCATTAACTTGAATTCATGATGGTATTGATTTTAAGATCTAATAGAATCATTACTGCGTGACTATTCCACTGTTGGTTGATTATTAATGTTTGACTTCCCATACCATTTTTCTAATAATAAACTGCTCGTCAAAGAGAGGTGAAATCATGCGTCTACAATGTATTTTAATGAGTCAGTCGTTATATTTATCATGTCAGTATTTCTTATCGAATTCCCCCTTTTCTACCACTACTTTTCCTTATTCCATGTCCCCATCCCTTGCCGTTTCATACTCAAATCTTCTTTTCTCACATCTCTTCCTCACCTCACCTCATCTCACTCCAGTTTACCTCACCTCACCTCACCTCATCTCACTTCTTCTTTTCGCTCTTTCACTCCTCTCCCCTCCCCTCCCACCTCCTCACCTCCCCTCCCACCATCTCCCCTCCCCTTTTATCCCTTCCTCCCTCCCCCTCCCCTC